ACGAATGACGTCTTTCTATATTTAGCCTTCGGGTTAACCCATCTTTTAAAAATATCTACTTAAAACTTGCATGAATGAATAAATGTTTAACTTAAGAACTGTTGGCATTGCCCAAACAACGGCTATGACTTGGTATGTTATTCCTCCAACTGTATCTACCGATTGTTAAACGCAGGGCTTCCTATACGAATACTTCCTACGTTAATTTGATGAAAAAAACTTTTTGGAAACAATTTTTAAGTTGATGCTCGAGTAATTTATCATTTTTTTTCAAATAGAGGGGGGAAAACGAAAAAGGGTGCACACATTTTTATTTTAAATTAAGCTTGCGGGTCACATATTGGCGCTTTTAAAAGTTAAATCGAATTTATTTTTAATTAAGAAGGTTATTGACAGGCTGATGTCTGAAAATGACTGATGTCAAAACGAGGGTGATAGTCAGAACGAGGGTCGAAGTCAAGGCCAGGGTGAAAGTCAGAACGAGGGCCGTTGTTTTAACGTAGACCGATCTTTGAACGAGGGCACTGTTGCGTTTTTTATTGCTTCATGGACAATATCATAATGGTAACACGTGCACTTAGGAGAGTTTTATTGTTACGATTAGTATGATGTGACTTGACAAAGGTATCCCAATGGACGGTTTTATGAGTTCAAGTTCTAATACAACAGCCAATCAACATTTGAAAACTTCGTTAAATAGACGCCTGCATTCTCAGTCTTAAGGCAAGCATTCATACATCCACGAATTTTTTTATTTTTTTAAACTGACGAAAAAAAAAAGTTATCTGATTTGGATAAGCGTTAAAAGTTGAGCGAATTAAAAAACAAAAACATCGCGAGATAAAATCGCAACGAGATGACACGTGGAACAACTCAAGCATGAAGCAGATACATTTGTTGTGGGCGTGGAATCAGTGACGTCATCAGATCACAGAGAAGTTGACAGGTCGTAGACAGCAAACCCATGCACCACCACCTCACCCCCTACAACCCCATACACCACCACCTCACCCCCTACAACCCCATGAACCACCATCTCACCCCCTACAACCCCGCCCTATACATGTACCACGATCAGTGACCCCCCAAAAAAATGAGTTGCTCACAAACTGACCTCAACTACGAGCGAAATGAAAGTCCTCCTACTGTAACCCCACCCCATCAAAGTTCCTGGCACCAATTCAGTAGGGGGGGGGCGGCGGAGGGCGGCATTGCACCGTCCCCCAAACCAGAAGCACTTCTACCCTCCTCACCCCCCCCCCCCGATTGAAATAGAATTTAAATAGAAAATATACACTTGTACCAGTTTCCTACCCCCCCCCCCCCTCCCTCGAAAAATTTAGTCCGCCGCCTCCCCTACCCGAAGTTTCAAGTGACCCGCCCCTGAAGAAAAAAGTTTAAAAGAAGTACTGCATCCCCCCCCCCCCCCCTTCCCCACCCAGATCTCCTCAGCTTCTGTGTGTGCTCCAAAGGTTCCGAGTATTCTTGTTAGGCACCAATGAGCTCACACTGTTTATTTTAGATTAACTTTATTTATCAAGTACTACACGGAGGGGAGAGGGAGGAGTGGAGGGGAGAGGAGAGGAGGGGAAGGGGGGGGGGAGATTACTGCGCGTGCACGGGAACAAGTAAGAGGACGCCAGACCCAGGGAACTAGTTCCTCAGATTCGGGAACTGGAGATGTGTCATATCCGGACACACGTCTAAGTTGACATGAGTTGTGAATGTGTCACGTGTCTATCTGCAGGTCAGGTGTCTATCTGAAGGTCACGTGTCTATCTGCAGGTCACGTGTCTATCTGCAGGTCACGTGTCTATCTGCAGGTCACGTGTCTATCTGCAGGTCACGTGTCTATCTGCAGGTCACGTGTCTATCTGCAGGTCACGTGTCTATCTGCAGGTCACGTGTCTATCTGCAGGTCACGTGTCTATCTGCAGGTCACGTGTCTATCTGTAGGTCACGTGTCTATCTGAAGGTCACGTGTCTATCTGCAGGTCACGTGTCTATCTGCAGGTCACGTGTCTATCTGCAGGTCACGTGTCTATCTGCAGGTCACGTGTCTATCTGCAGGTCACGTGTCTATCTGCAGGTCACGTGTCTATCTGTAGGTCACGTGTCTATCTGAAGGTCACGTGTCTATCTGCAGGTCACGTGTCTATCTGCAGGTCACGTGTCTATCTGCAGGTCACGTGGTCGCCAGGTTCATGCTGGCAACAGAGTGGCCACATTGGCACAAGGCTAAGAAATCTGGCTATCTGGTTACTCGGTATTTCACTCCTGCTATGTCTCCCCTCACACACACCACCACCCCCTCAACCCCCCCCCCCCCCCCCACTACCATCCCACACACACACCGCTAACAAGCATTGGTCGATACCCTGTTTCAATTGACAATTAAAGCTCACGAGGACGGTGGTCCTCAACTGGTATAGAAGGTCTTCGACAGTCATAGAAGGTCATCGTCAACTGGTATATAAGGTCATCAGGTCATCATCAACTAGTATACAAGGTCTTCGACAGTCATAGAAGGTCATCGTCAACTGGTATATAAGGTCATCAGGTCATCATCAACTGTTATATAAGGTCATCAGGTCATCATCAACTGGTATAGAAGGTCCTCGACAATTATAGAAGGTCAAAGGCAGTTATAGAATCTCCTCGACAGTTATAAAAGGTAATCAACAACTGGTATAGAAGGTCATCATCAACTGGTATAGAAGGTCATCATCAACTGGTATAGAAGGTCATTATCAACTGGTATAGAAAGGTCGAAGATTCTCAAACTCCATAAATTGGCATTGCAATGATGAATTAATACATTGAAGAATCAGAAAAATTTATGAACTTGATCATTTTATAACAATTTTGCTCATTTTTTATTTAAATAAACTTGATCGAATGGTAAAAACTTGATTATTTGAAGATCTGAAAAACTTGATCAATTGAAGACTTCTTACACAATCTCCTTTTATCGTCCATAATTTTTAATGTTTTGATTTTAAATTGGCTTAAAGTTTTGGGCAGACAAAAAGTCTGGCAAGAATCATGCACTGTGGGTTAATAAAACATGAAAGGGACATTTGACGATAATGATTTTTTTTTATAATACGTCCACCCTTTGTCCGTCTAATTAAAGTTATTTTAGGAGAGCTGAATATAAAAACATGCGGGGTTTCAGTGCTATAGGTTGAAAGGTTTGTCTCATGTCATCACCACAAGTCTACTGAAATGTGTCTCTTGTAATTCATAAATGATTGATTCCGTTTGGGAAACCTTCCGTCCATCCCCCCCCCCCCATCCCCCATCTGTTTTATTATGCACCTAATATGCACTTAAAATGCAATACAAATAAATAAAAACAAAAAAAAGCATTTTTTTCTTTAAAAGTAAAAGCGTTAGTTGCCAAAGAAAGCTTCGACAGAATGCATCTTAAATATATTCAAATCAAGATCAAGAAGTTTATACATTGGCCAAAAGTCTGGAAACAAGAGGTTGTCGTAATTTTAGGATATTTTCTTAATTTTTTTTTTGAGTCAATTTTGACGGGGGGGGGGTAGAAGAGAAGTATGACTAAAGGGAGGGAAGGAAGTAGTTAAATTCGGCTAATTACTCCAGCACTCATTTACGGCCGACGCATTAGTTAGATCTTTTTGTTACAGTTCTTGTATGCAGCGATGATGTAACCTTCACAATAGGTTTGGGTTGAAAAGAAAATCAGCCCTAGATAAGATGAAAATCAAAAGGCTGAGTGCTGTGCGTAAGGGACTTAATCCAGATGAAAAGTTAACATTTGAGCAATCGACTCGAGCAGTCGAAATCTTGGCCATTGCGACACAGGTCTGTCAGCGCATGCGCACTCTATCGTTTCACAATCCACACCAACTGAGTTTTGTTTACTTCCGTCTGTTTATTACAATGAGCTTATTTTCTGTCAGCTTTTCGAACATGTCATTTTCGGGTTTACCCAATGCTAAAAATAACACTTCTTTGGTTTGAAATTTTCATGAGTTACCTTTCACCTTTGAACTTATTTTTCTAGTCGATGTTTAACTCGTGTAAAAAAAGGTCATTATGTGGACAAATATTCTTCGGACTACGCACAAATCTAGTTATAAATGTAATCCTTTAATCTTTTTATTTTTATGTAAAGAATTTAAATTATTAAAAAACCATCTAAAACTGCAAATATGAAGTTTTTTTTTCAATTTTCCATGTCGACAAAAGGTTTATTTAAAATAAAATAAGTACAAAAATGTTCTCTGTTTAAAGAAATGCAAGGTTTTTAAGTCGACAAACGGAGCATTGATTTCAGTTTCTTAGTTGGACGTTAACACATGCTATATGTATTAAGTGTCGTAAACATAGATAAAAGATGGATAAATTTAATGTTCTTAGGGGGTGGGGTGGGGATCGGCTTACTATACTGACCTATAGCCAACAAACTTGGTTGAGAAATATGTATTAATTATCAGCAGTAGTATGGCCTTCTTGTATATTATATATATATATATATATATATATATATATATATATATATATATATATATATATATATATATATATATATATATATATATATATATATATATATATATATACATATATATTTACACACACATATATATATATATATATATATATATATATATATATATATATATATATATATATATATATATGCGTGTGTATGTGTGTGTAAACGCGTATTAATGTGTATGTGTGTGAATATTAGTGTGAGTGTAAGTGAATATGTGTGAGTGTCAATATGAGTGAATGTGCGTGAATAAATGATTGCTTGGGCATGAATGAATGAGCGAATGTATGAATGTGTATAAAAGTGCGTGAGTGTGCGTGTTCTTGTGTGCGTGTGTATCTATATGCGAGTGTTCTACAACACTAAACAGGTTGAAAGGACTGAACTTCGGTCGAGACAAGATTTTTTTTTTTTAAGTTTTAACCAACTGGGTGAACATAATCAAGATTTTGTCCGTTGCACTTACCTCCCCTAGCAGTGATTGGTCGTCGGAAAATGGCGGCAGGGCAGTTTCCGGTTCCTGGGCTGCAGGTATTGACGAGGTGCTGACTAGCACTGAATGGGCGGTGATGACAAGGACAAGAAGGTAGCCCACACCGCAGGGACTTAGCCGCGCGTGCATCGTGCTCACCAAGGTCAAGGTCGAAGGTTTAGAGGTCCTGGGTTGTCGTCGTTTATGTAGGTGCACGTTCGTGTAGGTCGGCTTGTTCTCTTTGCAGATGGTTTCAATTTTTTTTTTTAAATAGTTCAGGTGGACTTTGGTTACGTTGAGAAATAGCCTGATATTAGTTTTCTTTCGTTAAAGATATAATTACCGATGATGATGGTTTCGCCAAAACTCTGAAAAGAAAATTAAGAAATATAATTAATATGTTAATGTACTGTTTAATGAAGACGGCTAGAACCAGCGTTGAATACATAATTCCTTTATAAGCCGAGGTCACGTAAACTCTACTCCACCTCAAGGGTCTATTATAATTAAAAATGTGTCAAATAAACCGATACATTTTAATATTTTATTATTTTAATGAAACATTGAATGTTTATTTATTCATGGTAGCAATCAATTCGAATCGTAATTTAATTGAAATTAGTCTAAATGACGTCTCACTCTGCCCGTCTGACTTGGTTTTGAACACAGAACTTTAGCTCAGTTCAAGTGTTTCTATTTTTAAATGCACTTTAACGGCAACAGAATGCATGCTGACTACCCTTTCATTAAACCTGTCGAATTATTTTATTTTATTTTTAATAAAAAAAATAAATAAGAGAAAATAGTGTTTTTATTCAATGAATAATTTTTAAATTTCTAAAACTAAATATTTTATTACGGTTTAATTAATTAATTACAATTTTTATCCGTCCACGCTGAAGTGGCACCACTTAGCGGACACGTTAATTAGCCAGAGCTTGAATATTTTTAAGACCCAACAGTAAAATGATTCAATGAATTTCAATTAAGCCAAATTATGTTATTTAAAATACTACCACTCTGACTTTTGGTCTTCGCGAGCAACCTCAGAACGAAAGGGAAGTAATCACCTGTAGTTTCAAAAACCATCGAAAATAGAACTGTACATGAATAAATGGTTTGCTATACATCACTGTACTTTACATTGCGCTTATATACACTATATTTAGACCATCATTACAAACTGATCTTAACTAAATAGGCACAAATCTATATGTAACATAACATGTCTTCAATATAAACAGATAATTTTACTGTATAAATATCCTATATACATCTGTAATTACAGCTGTACATAGTTCAGGATTGTTTTATCTATATCGGTAATATATTTAAACCATCGGGAGATTTCTTTTTAATTCAGATGTATACACCACAATTTCCAAGCGTTGAGATAATCAGATAAAAAAATTTTTTTGGAATAACTGAATTTAAAAAATTGTAGTTAATTGCATTTACTTAATACAAAGACTGGAATGGTTTTAAAGAAAGCGAAACTCCTATATAAAGACTGCGGAACAGCGTACTGATTTTCAACGGTTACATGATAATACTATGCCGAGGTCATTGAAACAGATGAACTCTACTTCATCTGCCTCATGTGCCTTGGGCACAAAGGGAAAACTTGATAAAACGATAATACAAACCGTAATGGAATAACTATCAATTTTGTATAGAAAGCGTACAATAAATACCTCAAATTTTGAACCGTGTTAAAATTATTGCAAGTATTCAAGCACATCTTTTAAAAATACAGATCAACTCTACTCTGTCTGCCAAATTGATCTTCAAGTGTCGCAATGGCACAGTATTTCAGGTGACGTAGTAGTGCCTGATTAACAGCCGGCGTATGATTCGTTACTATGTAATTAACATAATTAACACACGCGCCGGCGAACATAGTACATAACGTGTTCCTGCATGATTTTCTTTCAGCGAGGGACATAGACCTCACACGGTATGACATTTCTGAGGCGGCCTGACATTTGCCATCTTAGAATGACAAAAATATCTGCCATTTTGACATGTGAAATGTCATTAGTCGCAAAAGATTTGATAAAGCGGTCTGCCACGCCACTAAAAGGTGCTGTCTAAGGGTGATGTAGGTAAACTAAAATCAATTGGATTGAGGAATGAATGCGCGAGTCGGTAAGGTTGGAATTGTCTTGAGGTGGGTTTAGTTAAATGAATAGTAAACGAAGTATTTTGAAACAATAGTAAGAAAGACAGTGTGATAATATCCCATTGAGAGATAGAACAATGGAAGGATAAACAACATCGCGTAGCTATCAAAGAGTTGTAAAACAATGTTCAGAATGTTAATGGGCATTTGATTGGCAGCTGCCGATCACGTGTTATGCTCGTGAAGTTGTATGTGACACAATAAGCTTATGGTCAACAAGAAAGAGACGGTACTTGAATCAACAAAATGAAAGTGAAAGTGGGGGGGGGGTGGATATAAATCTATAGGTGGGTGAACTGAAGGATGGGTGAGGTAGGTGTGGATCGTACAGGTGGGTGAGATATGTGTGGGTCGTACAGGTGGGTGAGATAGGTGTGGGTCATACAGGTGGTTGGGTGAGGTAGGTGTGGATCGTACAGGTGGGTGAGGTAGGTGTGGGTCGTACAGGTGGGTGAGATAGGTGTGGGTCGTACAGGTGGGTGGGTGAGATAGGTGTGGGTCGTACAGGTGGGTGAGATAGGTGTGGGTCATACAGGTGGTTGGGTGAGGTAGGTGTGGATCGTACAGGTGGGTGAGATAGGTGTGGGTCGTACAGGTGGGTGAGGTAGGTGTGGGTCGTACAGGTGGGTGGGTGAGATAGGTGTGGGTCGTACAGGTGGGTGAGATAGGTGTGGGTCGTACAGGTGGGTGGGTGAGATAGGTGTGGGTCGTACAGGTGGGTGAGATAGGTGTGGGTCATACAGGTGGTTGGGTGAGGTAGGTGTGGATCGTACAGGTGGGTGAGGTAGGTGTGGGTCGTACAGGTGGGTGAGATAGGTGTGGGTCGTACAGGTGGGTGGGTGAGGTAGGTGTGGGTCGTACAGGTGGGTGAGATATGTGTGGGTCGTACAGGTGGGTGAGATAGGTGTGGGTCGTACAGGTGGGTGAGGTAGGTGTGGGTCGTACAGGTGGGTGGGTGAGATAGGTGTGGGTCGTACAGGTGGGTGAGATAGGTGTGGGTCGTACAGGTGGGTGGGTGAGATAGGTGTGGGTCGTACAGGTGGGTGGGTGAGATAGGTGTGGGTCGTACAGGTGGGTGAGATATGTGTGGGTCGTACAGGTGGGTGAGATAGGTGTGGGTCGTACAGGTGAGTGAGATAGGTGTGGGTCGTACAGGTGGGTGAGATATGTGTGGGTCGTACAGGTGGGTGAGGTAGGTGTGGGTCGTACAGGTGGGTGAGATATGTGTGGGTCGTACAGGTGGGTGGGTGAGGTAGGTGTGGGTCGTACAGGTGGGTGGGTGAGGTAGGTGTGGGTCGAACAGGTGGGTGAGGTAGGTGTGGGTCGTACAGGTGGGTGGGATAGGTGTGGGTCATACAGGTGGGTGAGATAGGTGTGGGTCGTACAGGTGGGTGAGTGAGATAGGTGTGGGTCGTACAGGTGGGTGAGATAGGTGTGGGTCGTACAGGTGGGTGAGGTAGGTGTGGATCGTACAGGTGGGTGAGGTAGGTGTGGGTCGTACAGGTGGGTGAGATAGGTGTGGGTCGTACAGGTGGGTGAGATAGGTGTGGGTCGTACAGGTGGGTGAGATAGGTGTGGGTCGTACAGGTGGGTGAGATAGGTGTGGGTCGTACAGGTGGGTGAGATAGGTGTGGGTCGTACATGTGAGTGAGATAGGTGTGGGTCGTACAGGTGGGTGAGATATGTGTGGGTCGTACAGGTGGGTGGGTGAGATAGGTGTGGGTCGTACAGGTGGGTGAGATAGGTGTGGGTCGTACAGGTGGGTGAGATAGGTGTGGGTCGTACAGGTGGGTGAGGTAGGTGTGGGTCGTACAGGTGGGTGGGTGAGGTAGGTGTGGGTCGTACAGGTGGGTGAGATAGGTGTGGGTCGTACAGGTGGGTGAGGTAGGTGTGGGTCGTACAGGTGGGTGGGTGAGATAGGTGTGGGTCATACAGGTGGGTGGGTGAGGTAGGTGTGGGTCGTACAGGTGGGTGAGATAGGTGTGGGTCGTACAGGTGGGTGAGTGAGATAGGTGTGGGTCGTACAGGTGGGTGAGATAGGTGTGGGTCGTACAGGTGGGTGAGATAGGTGTGGGTCATACAGGTGGGTGAGATAGGTGTGGGTCGTACAGGTGGGTGAGATAGGTGTGGGTCATACAGGTGGGTGAGATAGGTGTGGGTCGTACAGGTGGGTGAGGTAGGTGTGGGTCGTACAGGTGGGTGAGGGAGGTAGGTGTGGGTCGTACAGGTGGGTGAGATAGGTGTGGGTCGTACAGGTGGGTGGGTGAGATAGGTGTGGGTCGTACAGGTGGGTGGGTGAGATAGGTGTGGGTCGTACAGGTGGGTGAGATAGGTGTGGGTCGTACAGGTGGTGGGTGAGGTAGGTGTGGGTCGTACAGGTGGGTGAGATAGATGTGGGTCGTACAGGTGGGTGGGTGAGGTAGGTGTGGGTCGTACAGGTGGGTGAGATAGGTGTGGGTCGTACAGGTGGGTGGGTGAGGTAGGTGTGGGTCGTACAGGTGGGTGAGATAGATGTGGGTCGTACAGGTGGGTGGGTGAGGTAGGTGTGGGTCGTACAGGTGGGTGAGATAGGTGTGGGTCGTACAGGTGGGTGAGATAGGTGTGGGTCGTACAGGTGGGTGGGTGAGGTAGGTGTGGGTCGTACAGGTGGGTGGGTGAGATAGGTGTGGGTCGTACAGGTGGGTGGGTGAGGTAGGTGTGGGTCGTACAGGTGGGTGGGTGAGGTAGGTGTGGGTCGTACAGGTGGGTGGGTGAGATAGGTGTGGGTCGTACAGGTGGGTGGGTGAGGTAGGTGTGGGTCGTACAGGTGGGTGAGGTAGGTGTGGGTCGTACAGGTGGGTGAGGTAGGTGTGGGTCGTACAGGTGGGTGGGTGAGATAGGTGTGGGTCGTACAGGTGGGTGAGATAGGTGTGGGTCGTACAGGTGGGTGGGTGAGGTAGGTGTGGGTCGTACAGGTGGGTGAGGTAGGTGTGGGTCGTACAGGTGGGTGGGTGAGATAGGTGTGGGTCGTACAGGTGGGTGGGTGAGATAGGTGTGGGTCGTACAGGTGGGTGGGTGAGGTAGGTGTGGGTCGAACAGGTGGGTGAGGTAGGTGTGGGTCGTACAGGTGGGTGAGATAGGTGTGGGTCGTACAGGTGGGTGAGATAGGTGAGGGTCGTACAGGTGGGTGAGGTAGGTGTGGGTCGT